TGGGTTGCCTCTGTGGTGTCCCCTTTCATCAGTTGGCGCCGCTTACAGAACATCACATGATCAATCACCTAGCTTCTCATCCCGGACCAGTAGGCCCTCTGCCGAAGTAATTCCTACGTCCTGGTGCACCCCGTGTGTGCAATCGCATGTCGTTCGACGATAATTTTTCGTCCCAAGACCCGAGATATCGCGGGCAGCACAACATACGAAGCAGTGACGTTTCAAGAAATTATGCCAGCTTCATTCAGTCTCAGCCGATCCACGTGATTCTGGAGCGTTTCTAATTCCTTGTCTCTCCCTCTATTCTTAATGCTCCTTTCTTCCAACAAGGCGGCTGCAACCTTTTGTAACACAGGATCCCGCCGTTAGAGTTGCAAAAACCTTCCGGGACCAAGTTCGACGACGAGCACATTGGCCACCAATCATGATCCTGGAGGCCTCATTTTCAGCCTCTGGTCCTGACAGCCAATCAGCCAAGTGATGCCCCTTCCCTGGCAGGTGCTGGATTGTGAAGTCGTACTCTTGCAACCGGAGTGCCCAGCGCGCGAGCTTTCCGCGAGGATCTCTGGTGGTCCTGGTCCGCTCCAGGGGTTTGTGATCGGTTTTGACATGAAATCTTTGTCCAAGCAGGAACGGGCCCCACTTTTTCAGGGCCCAGACGATCGCTTAACATTCCCTTTCAACTGTCGAATACTTCCGTTCAGCGTTAGTCAGGACATGACAGACCCTTTCGATAATTCCATTCTTTTGTTTTAGGACTGCGCCAGTACCGCGATCACTAGCGTAGTTGCACCAGTGAACTTCTCTCCGAACCTGGGCAGTTTGAGGTTCAGTTGCTGATTTAACATCCACGCTTTGACACGCTCAAAAGCCTCATGTGCTTTTCCGTCCCATTGGGATTTCCGATTTCGCCCGAGCAAGTCGTGGAGTGGAGCAGCAATCGTATTGAAATCCCTAACAAACCGGCTGTAGTATGCCGCTTGTACAAGAAACTGCCCTAAAGACCGCTTTTATTTTGAGACAGCAAAACTCTTGATCTTTGCCAATTTTTCAGGGTGTGGGCTAACTTCTTCGTGACCCACTTTATGCCCCACAAGTGTCACCGACCTTCGCACGAGCTGCGACTTGGCTCCATTTATCCGAAGACCAGCCTCCTGGATTTGCTTCAATACAGCCTTAAAGTGAAATGCGTGCTCTGCTTCCGAATTGCTGTACACAACGGTATCGTCTTCGTACAAGGCAACATTCTGGAGTCCCTTAGTTGAACGAAGCACGAAGCGCCGGAATGTAAATGTAGCCCGGGAGAAACCAAACGGCATTCGTGTAAATTGATATTTGGTATCCTCAACCGTAAACACCGTTTTCTCCCGCTCCTCCTCCTTAATAGATAGTTGCCAATATCTGGAACGCAAGTCGAACACATTGAAATATCAGGAACGCTGGAAGGAATCGAAAATCTCCACAACCGAAGGCACAGCCACAAGAGATTCACGGCCAGTTCATTCAAGCGCCGGAAATCCACGTAAAACCTGTATTTTTAGTTCGCCTTCCCCGCAAGCACAACCAGGGGTTGTACGCACCATTGGCTTCTTCGATTATGCCTTTCTTCAAATTCTCTTCAATCTGTTTATGGACCTCCTCCCATATATGTAGCGGCAGCGGACGGGAAGTGAGAATCCCTGACCTACAACGAGTCTAAGCGGTCTTGAGCAGCCTGACAGCTCGATGAAGCTGGATTCTGGGTCCCTCCTGGTTCGGTTGAATCACAGGAACTAAATGTTAGTCGGCAAACAATTAAGGCGAGCACACTGAGTCATTCTGGTTTTCGGATCAGATGAATAATTCAGTTGTGGAGAGCCTTTATCCCCTCCGTGGGCTTTACAGTCCTTCAAAGGCCTTTATGGCTTCTGCGTGGAACTGGCATCATTCAGACTGGTATTGATCGACGCAATAAATAAATTCCTTTTCGATAACCGTAGCGTTTCCAAACCTGCGACTTGGGATCCTTCAGGCTTTCCGGCAAGCGTGCTTTACCCCTTGTATCGTAAAGAGGTTGAAGGTTTTCCCTGCTTTGCCTCGTCTGCAACGATCAAGTTGGCGAGACAAATGGTGGGATCCGTAACTTTGACGGACTTTGATCGTCCCCATTTCCAGCCACTCAGCATTGTTCTCCAGATTGATAAGACGCAATAGCTCAGGCACTGAGAAAACGTACTATAATGGGGAAAGGTGGAGGTTTACCGGAAGGCTCGCCAAACATGACAGACTGTCCGGTGGGTCTTGAGATTGTTGACTCACCGTGCAAGATCCGGGGAACCATGAATCCCACAGGGCGATTTTATATATCGGACTGTACTCAGTTTGTATCCATCGGGCAACGGGAACAGACGGACGAAGTCAGTAGATGATTTAATAAGAACTGTCATGAATTGATTCTACCGACAAGTGAGCTGGTAACTATCGCCATGACCTGAAAAATGGCAATCCGGTAGCAGGGATTTCTGGAAGCAACAGTATGTAAACACCAGAAGCTTTACAAACGTATATTTACGGGTACTCAGTCAGTGCAAATTGGTCGTACGGAGAGATAACGACGCAGAAAACAATCGGTACCTTCTGGAATTAAAGACTTGCTTCTGGCTGACGGCACGATGTGGCAGCCCATGCCATGTGACAGGTCAAGTTGACGTCCACGTCCGTTGAAACAAATGTCAACAAAAGCTATCTGGCTGATGCGATGTGCATGTAATACAAAAATGGGGTCTGATGAGGCGTCCAGTTGGTGTAGCGGATAATACACTCGTCGGCCATCCGGGGAGCTGAGCTCTATTCCCGGTTGTTTGCTTTTACGTCAGAGCGGACGCTCGAAAATAGGTAGAGCTGAAACAAACTTGCAAGCAAAGACGGACGGGCAATAAGAATTCGACACCAGTTACTGTTGGATAAGCAGACCTTAAATAGAAGGAAAACCGGGAAAGCAAGCAGTGAAAAAACAACGGCGATATAATAAAAGCACGCAAATTGTACCACTCATCAACAGTTATAAGACGAACACACTAATCGCCCACCCTCGTTGATTCTTGAGGTACCCACTCCTCCTTCAAACAACATCAATTCCTCTTTCCCTTCATCCCTCGATACGGTGACCTTGGGCGCAAGGCCACTCACTCCTACGATACCAACTTTCATGTTCGAAATTATTCACAAAAGGTACAATGCTTGCCTAACGCTTGACTTCCTCCCCAAAGCCCTTAGTCCCCCAGCTGGCTCCATGTGTCGGCTGCCAGTGCAAAACCATTCTGTTCCTTCGAACATTGTATTGAGCACGCTTATCCAGGGTTCTTTCATAAAATATCGACATTTATTCCGGACTTTGTGTACCTGCTGGTCCATATTTGTGCGAGGGGTACATCGCCGGACGGTACACTCGCTCGTCCGTAATTGCATGTCCTAATATCGCTGTAGTAGAGATAACCATGTGTGTGTGGACCTCAGTTTGCCCGTCAACCAGACTTCGGTGGAAATAAGCTCAACTCACGCTGGCGGATATGTAAGCCTGTGGATTATGCTTATTTTTTTCAGCAGATTACACTTAGGGGCTAGAATCTCGTGGGCACATGCATCAGCTTGTCCGAGGCTGCACATATCAAGCGAAGAGTAATGACGGTTCAAAATGAATCGTCAAATTCATAGACGATGCACAGAATTGATCCACTTACTCAAATTTCTATCTCGTTACTCAGCGGTTCCCTTTCAGGAAGTAGACAAGTGAAGAAGGACGTAGAAGGGCCCCTTAATTTTTCATAGTTGGACCACGCATAAAAAATTCTAAGACAAACTCGAACTCGGTCATACGTTCAGCGTGAAAAACTGTCTAAGGGAAAGTTTTCCGTTCCACAATTACCCAAAATGGAAAAGACGTTGTTCCATATAAGTGCGTGATGTAATCTTAAAAAAACTCCCACCACGTCCCACTTGTATTAGGGGGAGCAACAGTGATGAATCTATCTGCCGCGGCATCCTTGAAGACGATGATGGTCCAAGCGGATAATTCATGAAGTTCAGCCGCAATTTACAGTCCGTTGATTCCAGGCCGGTTACCAATGTCCGACAAACACGAAAGCCATTGTGAAGTTAAACAAGTGTAGTGGTCTGGCTACCCAATAAGTTAGTTTACCAGGAGAGTGTGGCAAAGTAATAAAAATAATTACGCTAGGTTGGGTATACAAAAATAAAGAGAACAGATGGAACAGACTCACCAACAATCGTTCTCTTCAAAATAGTTCGTCGTTGGCCCAGGTCAGCGAATAAACACTAATCTAATTATGTTGGTCCAGAGGTCTTCTTATGAACAGTTCCCACATATAATAGATTCCGAAGATGGTCTGAAATGTTTTGGTACCAGAGTTAGCACATGAGACTCGCGAATGACCGCTGCAAGCGCGAGCGAAATCAGAAGAGAGCCTAAGCACGTGACCACGCGTGTATTATGTGCAATTGTACAAGTGCGCGTTTTTGTAGTTTTTCGTATTTAAACAAAAAACGATTATGCAATTGATGAAATACGTAGTGTTAAAATGGAAGTAAAATAAAGGTACAAAAAGCCACAAAACTTATGAATGGTGACTTTTCGGATGATAATCGATGACCAAAATGTCTTTTTGTGGGTCACGTAACACAGTACGTAGCGTATGCTACGGAGCAAATGATCTCAGATACGATTGTTGTAGTACATCACCGTTAACTGACCCGAAGCTCATGTAGTCTGTGCTGAATTTTACCATCTTACTTCATTTTGCTGCATCCAGGAAGAAGAACTACCGACAGGAGTACACGTGCCTTTGGGTTTCTCCTGGAATATTTACCCGCCGAGCTTAATGAAGATAATGCTTGGCCTGGTAACCAAATAGTGACCAGTGATCAGACTGAACTGAAGGCTTTTGTTTTAATACCCCAACGAGGATTATTCTGCATACTCACACCACCAATTTAGAACCCGATCGCTGTGTTCGGTGGCGCAATGGAGTCGTCTCTTAATCATGGCGATGATTTTATTGGCTCGTACCGGCATGTTGGAGAACTTCTAGTGCTCGCGGTATTATCATTCTTCGGGTATTCACTCCTGAAAAAAATGTTCCGCGCTTATAAACCCGAATTCCTAAGAGCCGGGTTTGCGGGCGTTGACCTGAACAAACCATCGAAGCCTACGCTGTGAGTTTGTATGCTTTTTGTGATGACTGACGTTACAGTCCTGAAGCGCAAGGTGTTTTGGCGGGCGCCGTGTTTATTGTAATCATGTTTGTGTTTATCCCCATTCCCTTCTGGCGCTATTTGTTTGGCAAAGACTATGTATTGCCTCTATGGGACGTAAGTGAACTATGACGTCATCAATTTTTTTAGGTCGGCATTTCACCCGCCACAGATGAACAGCGGGCCTTGCTATTCAAGAGTCAAGTAATTGTTCTGACATTAGTCACATGTATTCTCAGTTTATCCACTATCTAGCAGGCTTGCTGTGCATATGTTGTATGGTTTTCCTCGGTTTCGCGGATGACGCCCTTGACCTCCCGTGGCGTCATAAGTGTATCATGCCCTCAATAGCGTCTTTGCCACTTTTAACGGTATACCTTGCGAACGAGGGGACTACGAAGATAATGGTCCCCATTATCTTGAGAGACATTGTCGGAACGACTGTTGATATCGGTAAGTACGTCACTCTGCTTGGGTACATGTGCTTCTAAGTGGTTTTTGGTTGGCTGAAGATCCATCACTATCGCAACAGGCTTTTCGACCCAGGGCGCCACGGCTTTCAACGGTTGGTAATGCTATTTCTTGATCTGAAGACTGTCTGTTCTGTAGATCATCACCATCGTCATCAGAGGCGACACGTCACTATTGACACTAGTGTTTTACTGCCGTATAACCAAAAAGTTCATCGGATTATATTTAAATGAACAGAAGGCAAACTAGTAGACGAGTGACGGACCTGGTGCTGATCGATTCTCAGGTCCCTGCACCGCCAAAGACTCGGTCAGAGAATCTGGACGGGAACTGACCACGAATGCCACCAAAAATAATCACACGCCGTTTCTCGCAGTAGCTCCGGTCAGGGGCAGGAAAGGTCTCGGGAACCCCATCTTAGAAGGCATATCTCATCGGCAACACTTAAACGCTTCGTGGTTTCCTTCACACCCCTCTGCCAGGTCAAACGTTGACCACATTACAGTCTCCCTCATGCTGAATTAGGTACGATACAGGTTGTTTTGGCGTGCATAACGCATGGCGGAGCTGCAGCATTTGATTGTGCTGGATGTTTTCCTCGACTAAAGTACTTGCTGCACCAACAAAAACCTGTCTTATACTTACCTCGTTACGAATTCGTTGACGCTATCCGATTTCAGCAGAGCTTCGGAGGCGTCGGTGGTAAAAAAAAGCACGTCATCCGCCCGCGAAAACCGTGTCTCACAACCCTACAGCAATGTAGCCCTTACTGTAGCCTGGCATACGCGATTCCTGAAACCCGGTGATGTGCCCTTCCGACGCCATCAGTGACGCAAGTTAGCAAACACGATCCGACGTCTGAGATTCGTGCTCTGACTTCGCCAGACACTTGCATCAGAGCTAATTTGACTACCAAAGTGTGTAGAATTCTTCACAACCTCGTAGTTCTACTGGAAATGTAGGCGATTTGTTCAGAGACTTGCATTCTGAAGCATGATTTCGATCAACAGACATTGTGACGAAAGTCCTGTTTATATTCCGGTGCCCTACGCGTATCTAAGGCCCGTTGTGATGGGCATATGGGAGGCGTAGACATCAAAGCAGCAAAATAGTCCTCGCGTTTATTTCGGATCGGTTCGCTTGTTGGGTCTTCGACAAGTTATCCCCTGATCATTTTATCGGTTCCATTTGAAATGCCAGGCGTTATGTCCAGAAGTCTCCGAAATGTTCAACAAAATTGTTGGTGGTCGCCGGCACGAAATCTGTCAGTTAACAAGGGTGTTTCCGCGTTGGCACCGTCACTTTCCAGGGCCTTGAGTACGGTGCCGGTCCATATTTGCAGGTTGTTATTCAACAGATGTGCAGGTTGATTAATTTCGGCATTTTTAAACTCTCCTGTAGCAAAGGGAATGAGTGATGGTACGAAAAGCAAAGATGCTGTTGGTCCTGTTCGTCTTCCAGGATGGGGTCCACGTGACCCTCCCTATGCTTGACGGGGACACTACGATGCGACGGCTAATCGCTGTATGGCGTCCATGTTGTCCGTTTCTCTCCAAACTGTCTGACTGAGTGCTGGGGCTGTAGACACCTCGGACATTGTATGCTAGCTCCAGATCCCTATCCCTGCTACCCACCTGCTTTCCACTACAACTCTATTCAAATAAATTGCCGTGGCTGTACGGCGGTGAAGCACGTGTTGTCTTATGGTGGTGTTGTCAATAATGGTGATGGAGGGCCCTCTGAACTTGCTCCGGGTGCCATTTATCACGTAGTCCCGATAGCCATCTTAATTGTCGATATGTTTCCGACTTTTCTCAATCTCCACTAGCGGACAAAGTTTGTGCGCGAGACTCGATGTTTCGCAGACACTAATACTTTATGGACTACCTCCCACACCGATCACTTGCTTCGACGGTAACAGCGAATGCAACGGTGTATGATCTTAAGCTGTCTAAATTCGTATTCCCCTGTCTCTAAGGCCTGTCAGAGCGACAACTCAGATTCAATGCAGTCACGGACTATACTCTAGGCAAACTACAGATCTCTCATCCTCCGGCTTTGGAGGACAAATTTAACTTTGTTGCTTTGTTGGCACTCTCCATACTCTATATATTCCAGCCTGCGAACTAGTTTCAACCTTGATTTCATATAATCATCGCCAGCACAGCATTACTGTTCAACATTTGTGCTCTGCTGCTGTAGAGCCGTAATTCATTTGGAAGTCTTATTGTGAAGGAAAGGATGAAAGTGGATGGGGGAAAGCCTTGATGCTTGCCTGCAACAATTATTTCGAGGCGCATACATCCAGGCACTGGATAGAAACTGACAACGACGCCATTTACATCGATTAGTGGACTTTTGCAATGTCTTCAACCTCACACAGGGAGCACGCTACTCCCATTCTGGAAGGCGGATCATTGACCGCATACAGACTTTTCGTAATCTCTCATACCCCTTTGTCGGAGGAAAGGTTGACCGCCATTCTAGCTGCACCATTTGATTAGCCACAGAAAACGGCACTCTCATCGATCGATGATTCGGCATGCGCAGTATGTTACCAAACAGTCGGTTTTAGTGCTTGGCACATTCTTCGATTGAAGTCTCAGGCACAACCGAATGTCCGTTTTCTGATTGTCTCATTGTGGATTTGCTAGCGCCAGCCTACGCAGACTGTGGTCCTGAGACAATGGTTGTCGAAGATCCGAAAACATCTAAGTTTTGCTGCCCGCAGAAGCCACGTCTCAGGCGTACGACGAAACCACCTACTATAGCCTAATACACACGTGCTCTAAGACCCAGGGGCGAGATGGCCCAAGTAGTTATAGCGCGAATTTACCGACCGGAAGGTCCGTGGTTCGAACCCGACCTCTGCCTCTTGACTTGCCCTGTATAGGCTCGGGCGACCTGGCAGTATCCCAGCCCTCGTGCTAACTTCGTGTGGCATGGCAGCTAGGCACCAAAACAGTGCTACAACTGAACGATTTTTATAAGACCCAGCCCGTCTCACTTTGGTGCCATAGATGTCTCAGATTAGCAAATGCGACCCTAGTCTTAGAAATTCGTTCAATAACTTTAACTGTTACAGTACGGCCGTAACTAATGCTAATTTCAAGATACCTATATGCTCCACTAATTCGACCACTTCTCCTTGGATTATGAGTGACTGAAAAACGCTTGTGCTTTTCTTCTTTTCGAAGACGAGGACTATGTAGTTTACATATTCCAGGTCAACAAGGTCTTCGGCAGAACCTGTTTGCTATTTTTTCTTGTCGACTACAAATTTGGATAGAATTGGAGAGTAGACATCCTTGTCGGACATCACTTTGTATACGGGAGCCTTTGGAAAGCCTTCTATAAAGTCTTACACGCCCGCAAGTCTGAGAATAAATTTATTCACAAACTTCCGGCGCATTACTTGCTGAGGAAGCGTGCTAAGCGTAGGCCGGTCAACTGTGTCGAACATGTCTTTGAAATCCAAGAAGACAAAAATTGTCACTTAGAACTTCACTCCCGTCTTTGAGTGGAAAGTCATCCGGTCCAAGAGCTCGGTGGCATCTCAGAGAACGTGCGTAGTCACAAGCTTCCGAGGCCGCAGGGTATTCCAGGTTCGCAGTCCGTAGTTCGGCTGTAGATCCAGGGTCTGATTGAGTGGCAATAGGTGACCGCGGAAATTGTCCCTCAAGGTGCTTGGTCCAGTGGTTGGAGATGGTCATGCCACTTTTCTCCTTGATCGCTTCTCTCACAGGAAGTTTCAAGGAACCACTCGTACGGGTCTTTTGAATTAATTGGAGCATTATTGGTTCTTTTTAGCTCTTCCACTGCCTTAACCTTCGTGTCCACCAGGCTTCGCGGTCGGTGCGCTCGCTCAGTTTCTGTTGATATCTAATAATTCATGGGGTCAAATTGCTTTGGAAGTCGAAGCAGTGCCAATCTGCTTGACATCTAGTGCTTGAGCGAAACTGGTAGCGTTGTGCCACCAGCAAAACTCCAGGCACTGAGCAGTGTTGTGGTGATCTTGTTCCAATGCAAATCGACATCAGACAATGGAGCATTTGAGAGAGTCCAGAGGGCAGTTGTGATAAATTCGTTTAACTTGGGGATCAGACACCTTAAATTTTAGGCGACTTGTGCGGCCCTGGAAAGCTAACAAGAAAGTGACATTGGAGTGCATTGTTTGACTCCACATAAGTGTTTTGAAACATGCGGTGTTTAGTTATGATGCACGCCGTCGGTGTCTAATGACTATATAATCAATTTGGATCCATGGCTGGCGTGCTGTTGAAGGACACTATGTAGCCAGAAGACCTCGGTTGTTTCGGAAGTAAGTACTGCGCTACGTGTGAAGCAGTCGTTCGTCGTCCGTACGTACTGAGTCCAATCCAAATCGACCACTCGATTGAGCCTCAAGTGCGCTAGGCATACCCATCTATGCATCTAACGTCCTGGCAGGCACGATGGTATCAGCTTTCAGACCCTAACAGGGCAATCGAGGCGTCGTAAAACTTCTCTCTGATTGTGTCAGAGTAGAGGCGGAAGAGGATAAATCCCCGCCTGTGAGATCCTTTCGTGGACGAATCAGGCGAGTCGCACAGAGACTACCAACGGGCACCCAGTGCAACAGGGATACTTCAGCCAGTGGCTGAGGATGATTTCGACTATTGTGCATCTTGCCGCAGCAGCCTGTGGATTACAGGAGGTCGCAACCAGAAGCGATTGGAGAACGATGAGACAGCTTAACCACTGTGCTTGCATCCTGAATTCTTGTTTCTGATGCAGGGTACACATTTTCAAACGGGTCCATTGTGGTAGCAGGAGCATCTTATCCTACTTGCTTCAGAGTGCGACCAGTAAACCGGGAGTTTGGGCTTGAATATTATAATCTAAGTGCATGAATCTGTCAGCACCAACTGACACGTGGCTGTTGCGGCCAAAATCAGTGCAAGACGAACGGGGGTGCCAGTTGTGGTGGTTTAGTCCACAAGAAGAGAGTTATTGTTGGGATAGTGGGATGGGGAAGAAAAAGCGGGTGAGAGAGAATGAAGGAAGGTGTCAGCAGCTGTCTGTTGTCGTCTACCTGCCCTACTGTATTCAGCAAGTAAGGCTGATGATACCACGCGACGGCCTGTGTGGTTTGAACAAATTTTTATTTGCAAGGGTCATTGTTGTATGTGGGTTGGGGTCCTGCCTGGGCGCCCAGAGCTGGAAAGGAGGGCGATTAAAGTCCCCAAACGATGCTTTGGCTCAAAAGCCTAATGGAAAGGCAGTGGTGTTTAGCTGGAGACGTCAACGGATCTCCTCTTTTAGGGAACATGTTGCCACACATGTTCCTATCCCAACCTGGAGGAACAGGAGACTGTGTTGGCCACCTAGTATGAGAGACCGGTTGTCGCGCGAGCATCCCCCCCACTGTAGCTCAACGGGTTACGGAGGCACACAAACCGTCATACCGAGGCACGGTCTAGTCTTGACGGAGCCGAAGTATCGGGTCAGTAAGCTGAGCTAGCTGAGCTGTTCATTCCAGCGGATCGGTGCCATTCAGTTCCTAAGGCCGCGGGTCGTACAGATGTGTGTATCTGAGCTAACATTGCGTCTTTTTGAGCTTCAGAATACTCATCGATTAAGGCGCGAAGCTGCCAAGTCCGTGGTTCGAACCGAATGCTGGCTTTTCGACTGCTCTTGTTTAGGCTTGGGCAACCTGGCAGTATGCTAGCCCTCGTGCCACTCTCAAATTACATGGTAGCTTTTGGCTAATGTGATTCCACAGGTGAACGACGCAACTCCGTTCACATTTTACTCATCCACCTGAGACTATTCAGGCCACTGGTCTCATTGTGCAGTCCACTCAGTCGTCATCATGATTGACATCAACACCAAAGACAAACATTTGTGTTTCACTGTCGTACAACCATGTCAGTTTATTTAAACAAGGCCAGATTACCGGAGGAAAAAAGCTAAGATGGGTAAGGGGTCTAGGGCTACCTTACCGTAAACACCCGAGGTGCCCAATCCTCCAACGCTCCTTTAGAAAATATGGACAGGAGCCGACAGTATTAGTACCACTGACGTCAAGGCGGCCAAGGCTTTCAATGTCTCCCGAGGGTACGGTGACTTGCGGCAAAGTCACTAGGACGATAGTAGGCACTGAATTCTTGCCCCGCTAGCTTAAGACTCGGGTAATACAGTCCAGTGTCTGGTCACAACAGCGTCTCCAGGGGTTCAAAAACGAACTCGAAAGGCGCCTCAAACTTCAGACCGAAAAGACTGAACCAGCGTGCGGCCGAAATGAAGCATGCGCCCGTTTCGGAGAATTTACGAAAACTCAGCTTATTCAAATGCGGTGCAAAAAACTCTCTCAGGGAAACTATTTCGGTAAAAAATTTTGTATAATCAGCGGATTGAACGGTTTGTGGAAGTTTTCAAAGAACCGTTTGCCCACCTGCTTACTCCAAGTATCCGAAATCAGCCTATGCCTCTTAGTTCCCAGCTCGTCAGTTTGGAACCGCTATCTTGCGCGGAGTTTATTAGGTAAATCCAATCTTTCAAGCACCCCCCGGCTCATAATTTTTCCGGTCTTGTCTACAAAGAGAAGGACTATACAGCCAGCCATAATAAGGTTGCTACCAGAAAGGCCATACCAGCAACTAGTTACTGTGATGGCGCACGCGGATCCCTCAAACACCGGTTACTCAGGAGCTTTAAGAATGGCAGAACGCCGGTGGTTTTCGAAGGTCCAGGAGATGGAGAAGGCTTTCGTTATAGGCAACAGTCACCCCAATTTTCAACTGATCCATTCGTTTTTTCTTGATCTGAAGGCTTCTTTTGATTCTGTTGATGGTCATAACCTTTGGTCTTATCTGGCGATCAAAGATGTCCCTTCCAAATTTATATCCCTTATGAGGGTACTATATGAGAACTCCTGTGGGCGCGTACGAGCATAGAACAAACTTTCGCCTGAGTTCACCGCATCTAGCGGTGTAATACAAAGCTGCGCTCTCTTCCCTCTCCTGTTCAACTTTGATATTGATATACTACTTGAAATTTCCCTGCCTGCCTCTGGAATCTCAGGAGTTTAAATGCTCCTGGGTCGTTTGTCCACATTCAGTATGAGGACGATATTGCTCTGATTGGTTCAGATTCTACCCAAATCCAAATGATCTTATATAACCCAATTAACTCCACCGCACTTTTTGGCATTTGCTTCACACCTACGAAGTGTAAACTGCTGCTCCAAGATTGAATTGAATCAAATCCAAACCTCATGCTTGCAGACGAGCCAGTCGATGGGGTAGATAAATTTTTTCACCTGGGCAGTTGCTTACGTTCCGGAGGACTGGCTTGAAATGAGACTACCTCTCCAATCGAGAAACCCAGGGCAGCTTTTTCCAACATCTGACACTCATTGCTCCGACATGACTTAAGTTTGTATGTGAATGGCAGAGTTTATACTCCGGCGGTGCGATCCATACTGCTTTAAAATCAGACGTACCCTCTGCGAAAGATGTCAGTGTTTGACCATCGGTGTCTCTGAAGCATTGGTTGGGTCTGGTTGGACCATCGGATTATTAATATTGAGGCACGCCAGATGGTGTCAGGAAGAAGGAACTTACCCAAGATAGGTGAATCATTCATGCTTCATAGGTTACGCTGATTAGGACATGTACTCCGCAAGCCAGAAGACCGTCTGCTTCGGAGAGCACTTTTCGCCCAGCCCTGTGCTGAAGCGACCGAGGGGCGGACAGTGTATGACCTGGCAACGAAGTATAAAAACACTAACCGGTAAACTTAGTGGTGTCGACAACTGTCACCTCCCTGGACGAGGACCCCGGGACTCAACTCATCGACGGTTAATAACACTGGCAGAGATGGCCCAATCGCACAGTCAGTGGCGCCCGCGCATCAAAGCTATCCCCTTCAATGCACAGCTACCCAGCTCCACAACCAACTGAAAATATTGCTTCCAGGGTTTGACTGTATATGCAGTATTCTCCCACTTTCCAACCAATATGTCTATGGCACACGGTTCATACCTGACAAATTGAATTGGAAATTGAAATTGTTCAGTTCAGGAAACAAATCAACGGCCGTCTACGCTACCTCAGTTACCAACAGTACCACAAACTTGAATGAAGCGAGTATATCCTGCCTTCATTCAGCACTGATACCATGGGTCGGTTACACTTACTCGCTCAACTATGTCTGTTGGGACGTCCTTCCCGAACTGCATCAAGCTAATGCTGCGTACTGGTGACCGGGAAGAACGGGACTGAAATTCCAAGTAATTGGATGGAAAACACAAGCCATAGTGATTACATTGCGTCACACGTAGTCTTGCCAGTGACTTTGACGTAGGGATACAGTTATTAGTAGTTCACGTACTTGTTTGATTGTATCTTTTGGGGCGTGCGGCTAGGCTCCGGTCGGTGATTCAAGCTAGTGGTTCAAACGGGAATTTTCACAATCATCGTCGTCGACACTACACTGGTAATGCATGCTGGCACTTGAGGTAACAATAGAACTCACCAACATGTATGATCTCCTAATTTGAACCAGTCGACACGAAAATTATTGAGCAATTAAGGTGTTTCTGTGAAAGGACATTCTTTTCGGTAGATTGACCCACCGGGTTCCGAGTCCCTGGTGTCCAATGGATCCACGTAATTGCGTGGGGTATTTGAGTCTTAATTGATGTCTAGGCTCCACTGTAGTCTCATGGCCGGATGTTTCGATGGGACTGAGGCAGATGACCCAACAGACCCGTTTCGGTCTAGCACCTAAAATCTATACTCTTGATCTGCTACTGCAGCACGAATACACACCATTGGTGTTTGGTTGTTACGCACCTCATCACTTAAATCCATCCGCTGGGTTACGTAGAGGCTTTAGAAGACACCTTATAAAATGCAATCACAGGTCTTGGATTTTACGGAACTTGTTAGTTGACGCTTAAAAGTTATGCTCCAGGAGTGGGGACCGAAAGAATCAAACAGGCATCTAAATAACTAATATGGTGATATAATAATAATGATAATAATAATAATAACATGGTAAGATGGTTTGAACTATCCTTTGTGCTACCTGACTGGGAAGTCTTGACAGGTGGGCCACTCAGTGGACACACTCAAGATGTGTTCCTGAATCGTCCTTCGAGGCGTCGTGCTTTCCGATCACACCACTCAAGTGCAATTTTCAAGAGCGTCCAGCATGCGCCTCAGGTGTCAAAAGTCGAGAGGCACTAGTTGGGTTCAAACCACGGACTTGCGATCAGTAAATTCGCGCCCTTACCACTGAGCCATCGGGGCGAGATGGCCCAAGTGCTTAGAAGGCGAATTTACTGACCGGAAGGTCTATGGTTCGAACCCAACCTCTGCCTCTCAGCTTCCCTTGTCTAGGCTTGGGCAACCTGGTAGTACCCCAGCCCTCGTGCCTTCTTCGTGTGGCATGGCAGCTAGGCACCGAAAGGGGGCAACGGCTAAACAATTTTTCGCTTGTTTCTGACTAGGCCTGACAATACCTCAGCCCTCATGTACAATACTTGTACACCGAAGTCGTGCCGCAGCTGAACTTATGACACAACACAGTTTATGGCTACAGTCAGACGTACTAGAACTTCCATACTTAATGAACCGTTTAACCGTCTATTGCGTCAGTGTTTGTTGAACGTCGAAACTTTTTTCCTCGACCAGTATTTAGCGGGTATTTCAGTCGTTCTAGATCAGGTGCATTAGTGTTCTCATCCACTGTTCGAATTCACATTTTGAATTTATAACGGATAGTGAACTATAACGAATAATTTTCGTGCACTTTTCTTGTAGGGGTACTCTACTATGTATATATGGGTCTACTGACAGTGTTCTGCACCAATACCATCAACATTTACGCCGGAATCAACGGACTGGAGGTTGGTCAAAGTCTGGTAATTGCCGCTTCAGTGACTGTCTTCAATATCATAGAATTGCGTGGTAAGTCCGTGGTGGTTACTGTCACTCATTTCATCGACAGCATGGCATCATTGTTCAACAGGTCAAAGTCAATTGCCGCTTCAGTGACTGTCTTCAATATCATAGAATTGCGTGGTAAGTCCGTGGTGGTTACTGTCACTCATTTCATCGATCGACTGGCATCATTGTTCAACACCGATGCTTCACTGCCGTACAACCATGACTTATTTGAAAGCCTTATTGTAAAGAAAAGAATGGATAGGGGAGGGACTCAGTGCTAGCTTAACACAATCATTCCGAGGTGCCTACGCCTCCAGACATTCACTCAGGCAATCTGGACAGAAACTGACAACAAGAACGTCACTGACATCGGTTGGCAGCCATATCTTGTAGTGTCTCCAACCAGGCACAATGACGATCACACGGTCCCCATCCTGGAAGGCGTGTAGCACCGACAGCACCCAAGCGTTTCGCGATCTACTTCATACTCCTCTGCCAAGTCAAGGGTTGGCCACCTCTCTGTTTACGCCACTCCGAATTGGGCATGGAAAACAGTACTCTCTTCGGCAAACGATGGTTCGGCATACGTAACACATGTCCCAACCAACGCAGCTTCTGGTGCTGGACACATTCTTCAATGGAAGTACCCGTTACACAACCGAAAACACGCTTTCTA